ATCCTTGTAATACTCTCAGACACAGCATCAGCACATCGCTTGTGTTGTGGCACCGGGCAGATTGCGTAGAAAATCATGGAAGTGGACACAGCTGGTATTCGCACAGACAATCGTGAATCACAAACGTATTCCACTAGCAGCACACAGTGCTTGTATGGATCCACCTTTTCTGCCCATGTTTGTTCAATATGAGGGATGCTATTTGCTGGCACCAGTGTCTCTGTTTTCACATACCCTGTTATCACTTCCAGCTGCCAGAATGTACTACTCTTCTCCTTTGTGCTTTCAATTCCCAATCCCTTCCTTGAGTACTTGTTTCCCATGCTGTCTCATGACTCCAGAGATGTGGCAGATCAGGCCATTACGAAGCCTATCCCCAACGCTATTAGTGGTCTCTCCTATCTTCGATCACTGTGAGACGACCTTCTTCCTGTGCTTGCCTGAATCATCTATTCTGCAAATATAATTTCCTTCCTCAAACTAAAGCCTCTCTCGCACAACGTGTGTGTGCAGCACTGCACTTCAGGTGTTGGCTGCCCACCTTTATTGCCCTTAATGCCTGGATTGTCAACCAGCTGTGCGCTTGATCTCCCATGCACCCTCTTTGTAGCATTTATAGCGAGTGGCTTTATGACCATATTCCCATGCTGTGCCCGTGCTCAACCACGCCTTTTGCCGTGCTTCTGCATCTGCCCGTGTATGTGCCACTGTGTGGCCCGTGATTCTTGGCCAAATTCTTTGCAGCGCTGTGGTTAACTGCCAAGTGCCTGGCTCGCTGCCATCCGCCCTCTTCACTCTGCGCCATCTCACCAAGCTGTGAGCCCCTCTTCCTATTGAACATGGCCACAAATCTGAGCCTGGGATGAGTCACAGCTGCACGAATGCGGCCAGGTCTGCTGTTTCGCCGACGCGCAGCTTTGGAAAGCCAACCTTTGGCTTGTGGACGATTGGATGGCAAGCTGGCTGCCGGCTCGGCTTTGATGTGCTGAAGAGCCAGGTGGGCTGGATTTAAGTGAGCCGGCGGGGTGAAATCACAGGCCCAACTTGCTGGCAGAATAGCCAAATATACAACCCGAGCCGCCTGGGGCTCAGATCGGATCAGATCAGACTGCTGCTCTTGGCTAGTTTTCAAAGGCAAAGGCTGTGCAGATGGCAAACGTGAGATGAGATCACGAGAAAGAGTGTCTATGGGGGTTGTTGCGAACCAATTGTGGAGACCCTTAATGCAGGACACCGTTTTTAGAAGCCAAGTGTCGCAGTTGGTACAAGAATACGTTTTAACATTGTTGTCATGTGCCCACTGAGGCTGTCAGTTTTTTTGCTACGAGTGTCTATCACATTTGCCTTACCAGCTCCGCTGTCTGTCGTTGAGCTCACATATTTGGATGATAGCACGGATCCAAATGTGTGTGTGTGCGTGTGTGTGTGTGTGTGTGTGTGTGTGTGTGTGTGTGTGTGTGTGTGTTGATGAATGCATGTGTGCATGGTGCAATAGGGATCTGAACCTCAACAGCATCTCTGGCTCTGTTCCTGCTAACATCAGCAAGCTCAGCAACCTGGAATACCTGTGAGCTCCCGACTATGTGCCACAGGTGGCCTCGTGCCATAGTGCTGTGCTGTGCCGTGCAGTGTAGGGATGAGCGTTCGTGTTCGCCCCTACACGAACACCTTCGTTTGCCGAACCGAACACTGTTCGGTTCGGCGAACACTTTGAGCAAAAAATGGTGTTCGCCGTTCGCCTGTGAAGGCGTGTTCGGGCGAACCTCGAACACTGTTCGTGTTCGTCGCGGGCAAATTGCAGCAGCGGCCCGAACACGAACGTGTTCGGGCGAACATCGAACACTGTTCGGCGAACATTTTAAGCCAAAAAAAAATACCTGTTCGGTTCGCCTCCAACACGTTCGAGGCGAACCGAACAGGTGTTCGTTTTTTTGCTCAACCCTAGTGCAGTGCAGTGCAGTGCTGTGCTGTGCTGTGCTGTGCTGTGCTGTGCTGTGCTGTGCTGTGCTGTGCTGTCCTGCAAGCACGCATTCATACTGGCATGGAGGCACACATGCATTCCGGCACCCACTCACAAAAGACTTGCCCGATGCTTTTGTATGGAAAGCCAGCAGTGACATCAACTCTATTCATCGTTTTTCTTCACTCTGCCAACCTATGTGTGCTCTGCTGAGGCCATTTTCTTTTGGTGCAGCTCAATGCAGGTGAACTTGATAGACGGAACACTGCCCAGAGAGTTGTCAAATTTGAAGAAGCTTCAGTTCCTGTAAGTTGATTTCCCTGCTGCTCAGTTCTTTTTGCTGGTGCTATTGCCGTAATTGTTTTACTTGTGAATTCAAACAGCAGATCATTGTGAAGTCATACTTTAAACTTGGGTAACTCTGATTTCAGTTCAGCTCGAGTATTTTGCCGTTTCGACCCAGTTCAGCCCGTTTGCTACTTGCTCACCTCAGCCACTGCCATATGCACATCATATTGCATCCTATCAACCTGCACAACAACCCTCCCCCCCTTCGCTCCTTCCTGCCACTAGACATGGGCAATGGGTTGAGTCTAGGGATGAGCAAGGGGCGAACACGAACATGTTCGTGTTCGCCCCTACACGAACACATCCGTTTGCCGAACCGAACACTGTTCGGTTCGGCGAACACTTTAAGCAAAAACAGGTGTTCGCCGTTCGCCTGTGAAGGCGTGTTCGGGCGAACCTCGAACATGTTCGTGTTCGTCGCGGGGCAAATTGCAGCAGCGGCCCGAGCACGAACGTGTTCGAGGCGAACCTCGAACACTGTTCGGCGAACACTTTAAGCAATAAAAACAAACCTGTTCGTATCTGTGCTCATCCCTAGTTGAGTCGGCCGACCTGACTCGACTTTTCTCGACCTGAGCTGGATATGAGTTCGATTGGTTCGACCCATCTTCGGGTCCAAACCCCGGGCCTGCTGACCTGGTGCAGGCGGATAAGGGTCGGGCCAAAGTCTGGTCAACCAGCGTGCCTTTTGGCAAATTGGTGATTTCGACCACCAGTTTGCATGGATTGGCGATTTTAGCTGCCGATCTGTACAGTTCGGATTGTACGCTGACTAGGCAGATCAGGGATGCCGCCGTCTTTCATGTAAATGGCTGGGCGGCTCGGATCGTGCCTTGGGTTGAGCAAAGCCAAGCTAAGCACTGCCCTTATTAACGAATGTGCCATAGAAGTTTCCAACGAGTACGCTGCCACTTACCACTCTTCATCACACTGATCCGACAACTTCAACCACCACTCACTTCGCAAAGCAACATTGTCAGCCTGTACCCCTAGCGCCAGCGTGCTACAGAATTGCGCCAGTCCAACGAGTCAAAACAACCCGACGAGAGTTGTGCCAGTCGGGTCTCGGGTCGACCCGACCTGAGAATTATACACCGACCCGAACCTATCAATCAAGTTAGGGTACTCCCACTGACCCGACCCGTACAAAAATTGGGGCTTGGTTGGGTCTGGTTCACTCGAGCTAGCCAATCGCTCATGCTTTGCTCAAGCCTAACCACCCTTTCCTCCCGTCTCCCCCACCCCGTCTACAACGGTTTTCCTTTATCCAGAGGACTAAGCTACAACACACTTTCTGGCCCTCTACCAGACTTCTTTGCCGCACTACCCAACATTTCCTTCTTGTATGTGTGTTTGTTTCCAACATTTCCCTCTTTGCACCACCGCTGAAGATTATAATCAAAGTGTGTGCCGGTTAACGGTCATTTAGGCACTCTGTGTTAGGGTGGTTCGCCACTGCCCTAGTGCCTACCGACCTACGTGCTTCACCTAGGGATGGTAGCACGACACTAGGAACGGTGGGAAATGTCGACCTAATGAGGAAAACCGACAGCTATAACGGTGGGGCTGCATGCTAAGGAGCTAAGGAGGGAAGGCGAGAAGAAAGCGGGAAAAACGGAATGGTGGGAGAGTGGTTTCAGGAAATGTCGAGAAGACATTTCCGTAACCTAAAATGTCCAACCGCAACCGAACCGTGTTCGGTGCAAATGAGACAATCAGGTTCCGGTTCCGGTGTCGGTTACCGAAATCGGTTCCGCGTGCGACTCGGGCTGAAATGCGGATGATGCGTTACGCAAGGCGCACATCACATTTCGAAATGCTTAAATGTGTTTGTTTTCAATCAGTTCTTTGTGCTTCTCTGTTTTGAGTGAAATCAGTCCTGAAAAACCAGAAATTCTCTCCAAGCATTTACTACCTTCAACGCTAGCCGGAGGCTATACCAAAACTAAGACTCTGACATGTTCGTCTTCTCTAGCCGCCCGACCTCTGCCAGCAACCTTGGTAGTCTTTTATGGAGGAGAACATGCGTTGTGTGCGATTGTTGACATCGCTGACAATATCCTTTCCAGACTTGGGGGTCATGCACGGTAACAGTGCAGCGTGTAGACCAATACACCTTCTTGTGGAGGATGTGCTTGTTGAGCAATGGGGGTTTTGCTTACTCACTCACATAGACTCTCTATGAGGTCAATCCATAGATGATTTCTCTGATTTCTTTTTGTTTCACTTTCTAGTTGTGCTTAGGGATGAGCAAAAAAACGAACCCCTGTTCGGTTCGCCTCGAACACGTTCGAGGCGAACCGAACAGGTTAAATTTTTGGGCTTTAAGTGTTTGCCGAACAGTGTTTGATGTTCGCCCGAACACGTTCGTGTTCGGGCCGCTGCTGCAATTTGCCCCTAGACGAACACGAACGTGTTCGAGGTTCGCCCGAACACGCCTTCATAGGCGAACGGCGAACACCTGTTTTTGCTTAAGGTGTTCGCCGAACCAAACAGTGTTCGGTTCGCCGAACAGGGGTGTTCGTGCATGGGCAAACGCGAACACGTTCGTGTTCACTCCTTGCTCATCCCTAGTTGTGCTTGCTATCTGTGCTTAATATGCCTATGTGTGCCTCCGTCTCCATATTTTTTCCCGTTCTGCGTTCACTCTGTATCTGTGTGATGTTTTTGGGTGCCTCCACTTCCTCTCAAGGGCCGTGGATCGCAATGGGTTCAAAGGTTACGTGCCTGAATCTCTTTTCCAACTGCGACGACTGACACGCCTGTAAGAGACTGCTTGCTCCATTGAGGTAAAGGAGAGGGCATACGTAGCAAGTCAGAAAGCCAGAGATGTTCCGGAGGAAGTTGGCTGGGGAACCATTGGCCACAAAAGGTGGGTGAAGTGAAGTTACCAACGGTACTGGTTTGTCCTCATCTCTTGTGACTTATTGGTTTCATCTGTACTTGAAACACCAACCACAATTGTTTGTGCTTCGAGTGCAGACACCACCACATAGGCTTGGATTGGCACCTCATCCTTGAAACACTAGTTGTTTTGTTGCCTCCCTACTCAGTCTTATGATGAGTACTTTCTCACTCAGGAAGTTATTTGTTCACTCCAATCGGCAAAGAAAACTCCCCTCTAGGCAAGTAGGAAACAGAGTTAGCATGACGTGGACAATCAATGTGGTTGCAGGAAATTAGTGTGAAGACAGACTCCAACCTTCCCCCAACGTAATCAGAGTTCGTAAAGTGGATGGGTTGGGCGAGGAGGTAGAGGTAGTGTATTATGGTATATTCGGAAGGAATGAAAGTTGAGATCCAACAATGCATACGAAGATCTTTGGAATCTAGAGTTGTCGTTCCTTCTTCCAACTTTAAACGTACTGTAATATCTCTTTGAACTGGTTTCCGATGGCAGCTCTGAAAGCTTTCAAGGAACAGATCCTGCAAATGTGAGAGCATAGTGCAAATGCGCTATCGCAAACACCTCCTCGGGCCAGAAAACACATCGTACAATGTTGAGGACCGCCCGACTGTTTTTCTCTCCCCTTTTTTGCTCGCCCAAGTATACTCGCCTATGTTGAGTAAAGGTAAGGGTGTAAAACGAGTACTTGGGTTGAATACGAATATCTTGGACGAGTAACTATCCAGGAGTGACGACAAGAGTATTTGGTCGCATACGACCGTTTAAACCAGCCAAATGCGATTCTAATGTTCTCGAATTTCTTCGGATAGAAGTAAAGTACGGAATTGTACCCTACCAACTCTCAAAGTCCCTGTCAACGTTCGTCTATGGCTTTACTATTACGTTACATTTCCAAACTTGTTATGCTTACATTCACCTATGTTTGTGCGTATGTAGGTTTCCCTTGGCTCACCAATAGAATAACTCAATCAAGTTGTAAAAAGTGTCATTCCGATTTTGACCGTAGATGCTGTAAAAAGTGACCAATATACATATATATGTATATACATATATATGTATATATAGAAAGTCCATCAAAACAATAACAAAGACCCATCGTAGCAGGAAAAAAAGCCTTTCATTTGTTCTCAGTAGAAAATCAAATTTGCTGCTGTAACATAGAACCTATTTTGTAAGTAGAACGAGGGCTGCTAAATTGCTGCTGGTGCACCATGAGGAGCTTTGAAGCGTTTTTTTCTAGTGTAACGAACAGAAGCGTTATTTCGTATAGTGAAAGAAGCATACTTCAAACTTTAATGTAACAAAAAAAGTCGTAATCTCCACTCACCTTGATTTTTCATCACAAATAGGCAAGAAAAGAGACCACTAATTGTGGGTTCAATTGAAATAGATGAGCAAGGGAGCCCAGTACTTGACTTGTGAGTACTCGAAACAGCAAGTACTCATCTAAAGCATCCAATACGTCTGCACGTTTGCAACCAAGGTTAAAAAGAGATTTTGGCGTAGTTTCTGCAACTAGTTAACATGTGAAAAGTGGAATCATTTCTTCTGATTAAGATGGGGATCTGGTTAGTTCTTATTTGCATGATGCACATGTTCGACTTTTATTTCTGCATTGTGCTACCGTCACCTTCGCAGGCATCTAGAAAACAACCACTTTCAAGGAAGCATCCCTTCTTCCTTTGGAGTCTTGACTCAGCTTAGCCACCTGTGAGTCAGTAGCAATAGTGAAATGGGATAGACCTTCTTTGAATCCCTTTTGCTGCCATCCTACTACCGTCAGCCTGCTGTTCAGTGTGACTGTTTATCTCGCAGCCGCCTCATTTTCACGCCTCCCTTTCTGGCAGGGCGTTTGGCGTAAATGACTTTACCGGCACTATTCCATCATCATTTGCCAATCTTACTAATCTACGAGGCTTGTAAGCTACTGCTACTTCCAATCCTCGTTTATTTGTCTTCCTCTCCTAATTTAATGCTTGTTAAATCTCCAATAAACCCACTCGCACGTTCGGCGTTCCTTGTAGAAATCGCGTGCTGTAAAGTAGTTTTCCTACTGTTCAAGCACTGTTTATTTGGTTTATGGCACTTCACAATTGCTGTCGATGTATTTCCCCCATCCGTGCAGAAGCCTCCGTAGTTTGCGCATCCATGGTCCTGTGCCGCTGCCTTTTAGCTCACTGCAGAAGCTTCTGTACCTGTAAGCCTCACCACCGCACCTCGAGCATACCATGCGTTGTTATGTGACGACCGATTCAGTGCATACAAGCATGAGAAAAAATAACAGACTCAAACCAGTTAAGGGTTGAAGTGGGTCGAACCTGGGGGTGAAGTTGAACCGAATTGGTATGGTTGGATGGTTGGTCCTGAAGGTCAATTATGAAGACATTGCGGTTTGGGTTTGAGCTGCCCAAGTTTGCGCCCCTAATGTATGTAGAGTAAACAGCTGTATGCCTAAGCAGATGTAGCCTTAATGCCCCAAAATTAGTAGGAAACAAGTTATGAAAATGTGGAAAGAAACTCATATTTCTTCTGTTTTGCCCTAAAAGAGACCAAGCATGACCTGAGTTTGGCATGAGCAAAGCAATGCCCCCAACCTAGGCTTGAGAACAAGGACGAACACCTGTTTGGTTTGCCTCGATTGTTTTTTTGCCAGAAATGTTCAGGTCGAACATGTTTGTGTTCAGTTTGTCGAGGATGGCCCAGCTGTGTCGAACTTTTTCCAGCAGCGAAGAACACAAATATGTTTGTCGCGAATGTCCTGTGATTGAAGGCGCCAAGGGTCATTTTCGCCGTCAGATATGCGTGGATCTGGCATTTTGCCGTCAAAGCTGATGGCAGGAGGGTGGGGGGAGGAATGGGTGCTATGATACGATTTGAGTTTTACTGGATAATTTCGACACGGGAATGCTGTGGGTGGGACTATAACGAAATGTGCCTATAAAACCAACACAAACACCTTGGGTGTTCGCCTGTAAAGGTGAACACGGAACACACCTTTTTGTTGGAGGTGTTCGGCCGAACATGAACATGTTCGGTTCGCCGAACGGTAGTGTTCGACCTAAGGCGAACACGGACATGTTCGTGGTCGCCCTTTGCTCAACCCTGCCCGAACCCTGGTCCAGTTCGTCGCGGTCCAGGTCAACACGAACTGAAACAGGTTTTTTTTTTTTTTTTTTTTCGCCAAAGGCGTTTGGGTCGAAGTTCGGTGCACACGTGTGCTCCTGTAAGGCGTTGGGTTTGTGTCATATTCGACGTGCTAGTTTTATAGTTAGGCAGGAAAATCAACATCTGAGCTCTTTTATGAGCTTAATGTTGACACCCACGATACCTTTACCCACCACACCCACAATAGGTTAAATACAACTGTTTGGGACCTTTTCGTTTTATGTTAGTCTTTTGTTCTCCCTCTGAGTTCTTAGGTTGGAGTGTGGTGAGTTAGATCTAGCGCACGAGGATTAGGTTTAGCGTAGATGTGGCGGTACAAAAGTGAAAGGGCGGATTGGGTTTGGGAGGTGCATTGTGGACTGGTTCTGCAATAATTTGAATCGCAACTGTGACCCATGAAGTGTTCGCCTCGAACACACGAACACCATCTCTGAAAAAAATTGGTTTCTGGCATACCGAACGTGTTCGGTGCCTAAGGTAAGTGTTTATGTGGGCTCGAGGCAAACATGTTCGAGTTTGCGTTTGCCTGTTGCTCACGGCCGCATTAAAAGTGGGAGCCGTTCGACCCTGGTTGAGTCGTTTTTGAATCAGATAGCAAAAGAAAGAAGTCCTACTTTAAGCTCTGTGCACGTAGCAGCAGTCATAGGTTTGAAATGTGACAACTGAAGCTTGAAGGATGTATCAGGAGAGATGCAAGGGATGGTAATCCGGTGGTGTGGTGCAGGAGCGCTTGGAATGCGAGATGTCACAAGGGCTGGTGGAGACTGGTGTGGTGCAATAAAGCAGATGCATCGTTGTGTTGATTCGAACCAGGGCTCTTTTACTTCAGTAGTTAAGGAAGAACCTGGTATGTGTGAAAAATCTATATTCAGTGTGAGCATCACACTGGTAATCTATACAATTCACGCAATGAGTTGTGGAAAATGGAGGGTTATTCAATTCAAAATAAAAGGGGGAGGAGGTGGGGGGGGGGAGGGGGGGGGGGGGGGGTCTTGAACATTGGGAACATTCACCCCAAATCTGAAATTCTAGGGCACACTGCAGCTGTGTGTGTTTACAGAGTTTCCAATTCCATATCTGGTTATGTGCTGCAGGGAGCTGGCTTCCACATTCCTATCAGGACCCTTGGCACCTTTTGTGACTCCCATGACAAACCTTCAGCAGTTGTAGGCATATGGGTTTCGTTTGTGAGCATCACTGCTGTTCAGTGCTTCTGCTTCTATCTCGTCACAGACCCCTTTACCCGATTCCATAGGTTTTTGACTCTTTTGTTTCTTGTGCCATTAATGAGCTTCTTCCTGTCGAGCACTGCTTACAGGAGAATGCTTCTTCTTATTATATGACTATGCGCTGTTTGTCATTTCTAAGTTATTAGTTCCGAATGCAATTACAAAAATTTTCGGGTTGAGCACGAACCGAACCCAAACGGGGTTTGATCAAACATTTTCAAACCTTTCTTTCAAACCGAACCAAATCGGTTCAGTTTGATCCAACTTTATTTGCCTTTTTATGGTTTGAGGTTTGACAGTATTGCAGAGAACCATAAAAGTTCGCCCGAACCTATTAGGTTTGGAAAAAACTCAAATTTAGTCTGGTTCGAGGGTCACTTTCGTCATGGTTACATGCGAAAAAAGAATCGATGAAGAGGGATTTGTCAGGCCCTGATTGGACTGTCGAAACGTTCGAGTTCGACAGTCCAGGGCCGATCCAAAAGAGTTGAATCAAACCATTCGGCCAAACTTTCTTAAGTTTTGAACGAACTTCTTTTCGCTGAGGGAATCGAACCTAGGTTCGGTTTTTCCTCATATCTAACTAATTTTTCTTCATAAAAATCCTTCATAAAGCAGGATTCTCATCACTATCATAGCGTTTAATTCTGCTACCTTTGATCTCTCTTCTAATAATAGATGTGAGCACTTTTTTAATATCCCTACTTCATGATTTAAGTTTATATCGCTCCATGTCACGGCCGACCACTCTTTCTGTCACCGTTGCCATTGCCATCCCCGTCCCCATCCCATCCCCATCACCACCACCTCCACCACCGCCACCATCCCCATCCCCATCCCCATCACCATCGCTGCCTGCAGGATCGTGTCAGGCAACCAGTTCACGGGGGCCGTGCCCATGCCAGCCTCCAAGAGCCTGGCCACGGTGGACGTGCAGAGCAACTACTTCTCCTCCGCCCCCACCCGCCCCAAGAACTGCTCCGCTGTGCGCCTCTGGCTCTTCGACAACTGCCTGCCCACCACCACCACCCTCTGTGGGCTCAACCAGGAGCAGCGCAGCAAGGAGAGCTGCGCCGCATTCTGCGGGGTGGGGCAGGGCGGAGTGCTGTGCAGCGGACATGGGTACTGCTTCAAGAACGACAGCAGCAGCAGCGCTGAGTGTGTTTGTGAGGAGCACTACTCCACTCGCAACGATCCCCACACTTGCACGTACACAAGTAAGCTAAGTAATGTATGAGCAAATGCTACTTGATCACCATCAACACTGTGTCATCATTTGTGCATCTTCCCGCTCCATCTCTCCCTCTTCCCGTCCTCTCTTTCTCCCCTCCAGTCGACCCAGTGGTGGCCTCCTCTGCTGCCACCCCCATGATGCTGAATGGCTCGGCGCAGCGCTCTGCTGATGGCGACCTGCTGCTCACCCCCAAGGCCAACGCCACCTGGGGCACGGCCTTCACAGCGGCGCCTCTCCCCCTCTTCTCCTACTTCAACACCAAGGCCACATGCGGTTACCAGCTCGCCTTCAACGCATCCCTTGCCTTCTCCCTCGACCCGGACTCAGAGGCGGGCGGGGATGGGCTCGTGTTTGTCATCTCTGCGGCGCTGCCAGACCGGCTGGGAGGGGTGGGGAAGCGGAGTGTGGCGGTGGAGTTTGACTCGGTGCTGAGTGTGAAGCACAGCGACCCCAACGACAACCACGTGGGCGTCAATGTGGGCGGCTCACCTGTGTCCCTCGCCTCTGCCACGGCCCCTCTCATCCTCAACGACGCCCACACCAAGCACGCCTGGATCCACTACGTCCCCACCAGTGGTGGCACCCTCCGAGTCTTCCTCTCCTCCGACCCCCAGCAGCCCCCCACTCCCATTCTCCGAGCTCGAGTGTCGCTATGCTCCATCCTGCAGCCCAGGGCGTCCACTGCTGCATTCTACGTCGGCTTCACAGCCTCGTCCACCGCCGCCCCACAAGCACACTCCGTCCTCAACTGGACCTTCACTGCAGGTATGTGCCTCTCAGTTGTGTGACTTTCAGGTAAGCTTTAGCAAAGCCAGAATGCAAAACGCTTTGAGTGAGGCCAGGTCAATTTGTCGTAACTCCTCTAGATTGCAAGTTCGACTTCGATGGTTGAACTGTCATCTTTCTGGTTCCGCTGACACCTGTTCGTGCCATTTCTTTTGTTGCACATAAATTATTTCTTTCTCTGTTAGGTACATATTAGGCAGAGGTGGGTGGGATTGTAATGAGCAAATTAGTCCAGTAACAGCTTGGTTCAAATTGATCCTTTTTTTTTCTGGAAAAAAACTCGACTGAGTTGAGCTGATCAGCAAGTTCAAGAACGGCTCCAATGCAAGTACGTTTTACTCGACAATATTATAAAAGCCTGTGGCAACATCTCATAGGCAAACCGCGGTTCACCGGCGTCGTGCTGCCACATTCGTGCAGATCTAGCATTATCATGGATGAAGCAGTCGGTGGCAGGACCAGCTTTGTGGGGCGATAGGGAGTTGGACGCCATCAGTCTTTACTTAGGCATGGCAACTGGTTGACCTGTCCCGGCCTGCCATGACCCAGCCAGGCCAACTAGGGGAGAGTACAAGCTTGGTCGGGTCGACCTGGTCTCTGGTCAAGACCCCGGGAAAGCTGATCTGACCTGCTTATTGGGTTGGGTCTGCGACAGGAGGCAGGCCGGGTTGGGTAAAGCCAATGATGAATCGGGTTGCCCGATGGCTAATGCTACTTATCATCGTCAAGTGGATTGGCAAATTTTCACGAATTGGCAATTCTGGCCGCCAATGTGAACCTGTACAATTTTTACGTGCTTTGATTGTTGTTGTAATCGAACCAGTGGAACCACTGAACCGGTCCGCTCCGAACTGAACCGAACCGAACTGCGGTTAGTTCCGGAGCTCGTGTTGGAAATAGAGTTACGAACGTGGAGCATCCACTCTTGAAATCTGTTTGAACGGTTGGGGTAGGTACGAAAAAATTTTCGTGAAATTCTAGGAGCCATGGATGACATGGCGGAAATCTGTAAAGAGAAAGTACCAGGATACATTTCAGCAAGGAAGTTGGGAAAGGATAATCAAACTTAGCGTGTGTTCAGTTAGGCTACAATCAATGCAATGAACATAAAGTGAACCTTGCTCTAAACACGGTGGGATGACAAAATAGCATCATGATAAATATCACAGCGAGCTCAAGCCTACTCCAACGAGTTGAGCTAAAAAGTGGGTTTTGACTCTCCAAAAATGTCTTGTGCTGCCAAAGCTCAGTGGCCCATCCGCACGGGTTTCCCTGTCAACCAGGCTTGCCTTGAATCGAACCACAGTTCAGGATGTGCACATGCCTACGCACCCACCAGTTTCTTAGAAATGGCTGCTTGCTTATGACATGTCGTGTCAGCCAGAATAAGATAACGTCGGGGGTGTTTCAAGTGTGTCCTTGTACACTCCAATTTGTGGTGCTGATTTTTTCCTATTGTACACTTTCTGGTCAGGTTGAACCTTCTCCCACTCCTCTTGTCGCCTGTATGCAACCGGAGCATGGCTCCACATTAACACCTTCTGTTACTGCTTGCTTCTGTGCCACACCTTCCATGTGGTTGCCTGCTGTGGTTGTAGATCTTCCGCTCATCCCGCGCTTTGACCCTTCAGGTGAGTATGCTTGACGTTTTTTTGTTGTCGCCATCGTGAGTCCATTTGTATCACTGATTTCTCCTCTCGGCTTTTAACACTGTTTTCTCCTCCCAACGCCCAACTCTCCTTCCTCCGCCCACCAGACCTGGCGTTGGGGTTTGTGTTGGACGAGGACTCCTTCTCATCGCAGGGCTTCAATGCCGCCTTTCACTACGCCAGTGCGGGATTCGACCCTGCACAGGACAACAGCCCCGCGTGGACTGTCAAGTCCTACAGCACCTGGGTCCAGCCTGAATCCACCTGGCCTGTCAAGAACCAACGGGGCTGTGGTGAGTCGTATGGCCGCACGGCATGAACAGCAGGATAGGTGCAAAGTATGGCTTGGGGCTGAATTTTGAAATGAGGGGGTTCTTGAGATGAGAAAACTGAATGAGCCAGCAGCCACATGCAGCCAATGGAGTGAAATTACCATCATGCACCATGCCATGCTCCCGCAGAACACTTGTGCGTCCCAACCAAGTAAGTGGGTGGGAGCAAGCAGCACGGGGCACCAAACCAGAGAACTTTGACTACCTTGTTGTCTCCCATCCCACCACAAAGCCCTTGTGAATGTTTTAAGAGCTCTTCCTTCCTTACAAGCTGTCTTCACAGCAACTTGCTAGTAATCACATAACCCTTATGAGAGTGCATAACTCATCCCATTCCGGACCCCTCATGCTATCCAGGTGACTGCTGGGCGTACGCAGTGGTGGCAGCAGTGGAGGCAGCCCACAGGATCGCAAGCAACTGGGCGCAGCCCCCCGTGCTGTCGGTGGAGCATCTGCGCCTCGCCCTCTCCTCCAACTGCGACGGTGGCTCGCCCACCAAGGCGCTGCAGTTCCTCCTCAACGCCACCGTGCACGGCAAGGGGCTGCTGGAGGACGCACTCTACTCGCAAGGGCTGGCTCTTAAAGGAAGATTGTTGGTGAGTTGCTGCATGTATTATGTCATTCTGTTTGGGTGTTGTTGCTGTGTTGCTTGTATCTGCTGTTGGTTCGGGGTTGTTACAGTGTTGCTGTGAATGATGTTCTGTCTGCCAACTTTCTCGTTCTCCATATTCCTCTTCCCTGCCTACAGGCGAGCACCCCCAAGTACTATGGTATTCGCGGCATCGAGCGCACCGACTTCTACGGGTGGTTTGGGCTCATGCTGGCAGTGCAGCGCCAGCCTGTCATTGTGCACATCGAGGCGTCTGCACCCTCCTTCCAAGACTACGATGGGGTACGGCACCGTACTTGCAAAAGCGTGACACCTGGAAGGCAGCTGTTGCCAACCTAAGTGTGCTTTTTTGTCGCACTGTCAGCTCATGATAAATCCACTCATTTCTTAGTGTGTGCGTGCGGGCGTGTGTGTGGGGGGGCAGAGAGGCAAGTACGCGGACGAGGAGTGTTTCAGCAACCACCTGAACCATGTGGTGCTGGTGGTGGGCTACCTCTCTGCGGGCTCCGACCCCTCCAACTCCGCCGTGCCGCCGCCCTTCTGGATCATCCGCAACTCATGGGGCACAGCCTGGGGCGACCAGGGCCACATGCGCATGGACATTCGCAGTGGGGATGGCATCTGCGGCATCAACACTCTCCCAGGCCTCTTCCCTGTCATCAGAAGTGAGGCTCGTCATCCGTCCCGTCGTTTTTTTCACGCCTGTACTGACAGTCGCTGGCTTACCGCCTTTCTGTACCGTAACACATTGACCGTCTGCCCACACCCCATTCCCACCGGATGTGTTCGAGCAGGCAGTGCTGATCCGTGTGGGTCACGCTCCTTCCAGTACAGCACTCAAGGCCCCGCCTTCAACCCGTGTGGGCGGTTCAACTGCAGCAAGAAGGGCACCAGCAATCGCTGCAAGTGCACTGACGCCCGCTTTGCTCAAGTCAAGAACACCGATGGGTCGTACACCTGTGCCTATGGTAACATGCACCGGGGAGGGTCACTGGTGATGTGCGCATGTGCGCTAAATTATTCCAAAACTTTTGGACTAGTGCATAGAGTGAAGCTGCTCTTGAGAGAGTAACCCGTTGGCCTTCTGATTTGTTATTTTCCTGCTTGTTGTCGGTGGACTATTTTGAAAAGCCCATCTCCACTTGCTAGCCTTCTTTCCTGCACCTGGTCAATTTCCCCCCTTGCCTAGGTGTCCACACATACCTATCCCGTTTTCCTTCTTTTATGATTTTCACTCACATATTCCCACGCCTACAGCATGTCCCCCCCCTGCACATCCCGATGCCTACTGTCTCATGCATATACCCATGCTTGCCTTACTCCTCTCCCCTCGCCTCAGTGGACGTGTGTGGGTCCAGCAGTCGCAACCCGTGTGTGGTGGGCACGTGTGTGAACGATGGCAAGGGCAGCTACTCCTGTGTGTGTCCCCCGGGGTTCATCCAGGGCACCACCCTCGCCAACACCGCCTCCTGTGCTCCAGGTAACACCCCCCTGCTGTTCTCCTCCTGTGCTCCAGGTAACACCCCCCTGCTGCTCTCTTCCTGTGCTCCGGGTAACAATCCTTATCTGGTAACCAGTCTCGTCTTCCCCCCTGGTAACACCTGCTGAGAACGAAATGGTCTTCATGCATGCAGCAGTTTCGCATCTTTCCTTCTCGTTTGATCGCATCTCATACTCCGCTCCTGTGTGCCACTGCCTTGGTCCGGCCAAGAATTTGATGTGAGTGGCGGTGTGGTGCAGGGGATGCAGGGGGGGTGTACATGGTGCGGCAGAGCAACGTGTGGTGCTCCCAGGTGCATCCCATATTCGGCCTCACATTGGAACAGTTCCTGCAGCAGAACAAGGTGAGGTGCCCCCACCGCCCACTGCTGATTCTTGTGTGCGACACTCGTGCCATACAGCCACGTTGATAGACCGTTCAAGTAGTTGATACATGCTTATGATAGCCCAGACATCGTTTACAAGGACATATCCTATTCCCATCTGCCATCATCCCCTGCATGTGCCATCATTGCGCCTGCATGTGCCATCATTGCGCCTGCATGTGCCTCGTGCCCCCTGCATGTGCCTCGTCCCCCCTGCATGTGCCATCATCCCCCCTGCATGTGCCTCGTCCCCCCTGCACGTGCCTCGTCCCCCCTGCATGTGCCATCATCCCCCCTGCATGTGCCATCATCCCTGCATGTACCATCAACCCACTGCATGGCCTACAGGGCATCGCATGCTCTGCTCCTCTACGCATCAACTCAGCCCTGCTCGTTAACTCCACAGTGCAACCCTGCTCTGTCTTCTACACTACACTGCTGGTAAGCGCCCCAAGCACTTACACACAGCACACAGTGCAAACAGCACAGCTCGCTACAAGCATGATTTCTTCGCTGCACACTAAGTCAGGCTCCTATTTACATCTCTCATCCAGCCGTTCTGGCCTAAGATGTTCTTTTCAGCACGAGCTTTGACCCACTTAGTGCATGTGAGTTGAGCGCCAAATATAACTCGAATCAAAAGCCATTTTTTGCACCAACTCATTCTGGATTGGCTATTCTACTTTGAAATATTGCTTACCGTAATCCCCCGGCTATATGACTGGGGGGGCTTTCTACAAATCCCGTAAAAAATGTTATGGTGATAATTCAAATGGCAGCAGTTTTTGAAGATCCGGGCACACTTACTTTGCGACTAACTTTATTCGATTTAGGATGTACCCTTCAATCTGTGTGCGGGGGTCCTAAACTCGGGAACAATGAAAGCCACTTTTTTGTGCCACATTCGTGAGAGTCACGTGTCGGATTGAATGTCTGACGCGATGCACGTATCAGCTTCAATTCTGGCACAATATTCGTGTCAAAAAATAAAATAACTTAGAGCTGACGCGCAAGCAATAATACAGATACTGTATACACCTTACGGGGGTCTTAAATGTTTATTGACAAAAGGGGGGTCCTCACAAAACCTGCCAAAATTTAGGTCCACCTGCCTCTTGAGAGTCCCAAAGGACCGTCTTTCTGTTGGGTCCTATATCCGGAGGAATACGATATCTCAGATGTCTTTGTGTGGTGTCTTTCCACCTCTACATGGTCCCCCAGGGCGACACGTGTGTGGGGGTGGGGCGGCAGGTGGAGCTGTGTGGGGCGGCGGAGTCGGATGCGGAGTGTGAGGCGGCATTTCAGGCGCTCAACCCCGCTGTCAACTGCTCCTCCCTGAGGCCCTCCCAGGCTGTGTGCATCGAGAGGGACCCCGGGGTGGCAAATGTGACAGTGGTGTGCGACCAGTACTACCGGGCGCGCCTCAACGACACGTGCGACAGCATCAGGCAGCTGGCGGAGCCTCCTCTCAGCCCCGTGGACTTCTACCGCCTCAACCCCGGCGTCAACTGCAACCAGCTCATCCCCCTCAAGAACCACTCCCACTCCGCCACCACCTTTGGTGCTGATGTGAGTCACTGTTGTGCATGTAGTGTGGTGCATGCAGTGGGGTGCATGCTGTAGAATGGTGCATGGGTGTGGTGCAGCAATGTGGTCCAAGGTCTATAAGGAGAACAGTCTGAAGATTAACGAATCCAGTTTGGCTGGACGGTCTGTCAGTTTGAGACGAAATCGCCTGCTCATTGTCTACTCCATGCACTACCTCCCTTGTGGCTGCAGGTGTGCATCGGCAGCGTGACCAACTTCACAGCGGGCATCTGTTCCAGGACCAGCACGTACACCATCTCACCAGGGGATAACTGCAAGTACATCAATGTGAAGTACTTCTACAGCATCAAGGGCTGCTACAGGAGAATGAATGGGTACGAATGTGTAGATGCGCTAAGGCCTGGAGTCAAGATTTGCACACCAAATCCAAAAAAAGCCAGGATTGGGACTTGCAGCAGCATCTGACTAAAATTGCCCTTTGCGTCTACACTATGTATATAATGTACCGTAAGCCCCCGGATAGAAGAGCAGGCCTAGGATAAGCGCCGGCGCTTATAAAAGGATGAGGGCGCTTATATCCGGTCCTCGATTATAAGCGCACCCCCTAGAAAAATATGATCTATTTTAAGCGCATGTTTGTTTTTCATTTGAAAATATTTCAAATATAGAAACAAATTTCACATAATCAGGGAAACGAACTACAATCTCGATTTCCCACACTCTGAACTCACTTTTTGCGCGTCTAGTCAGCATCTGCTGTAATTCTGGCAGGGTGAGCTGGCAGGGAATCACTCCCTGCCAAGCTGCGCGAGAATCAGATTAGCGACCCTATATGTTTTCGACTCGATTACAATCAGCAGGAGATATACAGTTTGGTGTAAAACAAATATATATATATTTTTGCGATTTTATAAGCGCCGGCGCTTATAAAATTCCTCAATTATAAGCGCACCCCCTAAAAAACAGTGTTTTTTTATACCCCCAAGGGCGCTTCTATCCGGGGGCTGACGGTATCAATATTCATGGTGGAGCTGGTGGTGGCACGGCCAAGGCCTATTTATTTATCATACCGAACCATAAGCCAGAATACTACCGTATAACATACGGTAAAAGATTGCAGAAATTTCCTGCATGTACCAATCCCTCGGATGTACGACCTCCCTCCATCTCCTCTTCCTCCCCCCCCCCCCCACCCACCCCCCCCCCCCCCCCCCCCCCCTTCTCCTCCTCCCCCCCTCTCTCCCCTTCCCCCCCCCCCCTTCCTCCCCCATCCTATTCTATCCCCCTCTCTCTGCTCCCCCTGCCTGTCTTAAATACGGGGGTCTAATTCAGTACCGTATCACCCCAGATAGTAGCGCATACGCGCTTCTAATAAAATCAGTTTTTTTAATAGGGGTCTCTTCCAATTGAGTGGGGCATGCACTTGCAAAATGGTATATATATGTATTAGCACCAAAGTGTGCATTTCATTGTTGCAATTCCAATCGAGTCAAAGTTTTATAGCGTTAGGAATTTGAATCGCGCGCAAGCGATTCTCCGCCTACCCATAGGCGCGAAGACACGTCAGCCTGCCCTTATGCCAACACATCCCCACTGGACGCGCAGTTTGCAAATTCTTCGAGAGTTAATAGAAGCAAAAAGGAATGTGTGTTCGCTTCAAAATAGGATCTCGAACTGTTTTTAGCAGGTTTCAAAGTAGAAATCATGCACCTGTGTATATTAAATCAAGGATTTCTAAAGGGTGTGCTTATAATCGAATACCTTTAATAGGATGGCGCTTATATCCGGGGCCATACGGTATGTTGAGGAATGCCCTATATTTGGGCTGAAAATTTTACAAGGGCCCCCTTTGCCCAGATGCTGATGGTTTTTGGGCCATGTTATTGTCAACAACTAAGAACAATGGAATGAGGTTGGATTAGCATTAGCAAGCAAAGGATACATATGCTAACCTTAAAGTCTTGTGCCCACTATATCACTGTAGCCTATCACAAACATAGTTTGACACACTCAAATGAAGGAAAGTTAGAGAGAGCAAGAACAACAAAAGGTCAGAAGAACAGTCAAGAGAAAAACAAAGGGATCTCAAGATCACCACACAGTTTGAGCACGAGCAATTGGCCACAAGGCTAGTTCACGTGCAGAGTGCTAACAACAAAAGCAGTACAATGATCACAACCTAGCAAGTGGACGAATGCAGGTATAGATATATATCAGAGTACAACAAGCACAAAAGCAAGATTGAGAGCCTAGCAAATGAGGCAGTTTAGGCACAAGGCCAAGAGCAATGTAGAAATGCTTATAATCACCACATTTAAGGTTCTTGGTGAAGATATCAACAGTGTTGGCCTCAGAGGCCACGTAAGAAAGGCGAAGCTGTCTGCGCTGCTGCAACTTTCACACAAGAAAGTAATGAAGGGCAATGTGCTTCTTTCTCCTCTCGAGTCTCTGCTCCCGACACAAGGCAATCTTGTTTACGAACAGATACGGTGTAGAACGAGGCCGCTCACCCAGGTCGGTGTCCAAGTAGGTCAACCAGCGTAATCTCTGCGCAGCCCTAGCCCCAGCGTAGATCTCGGCCTCACAGCTAGAGTTGAGCACAGAAGACGAGAGAGTGGACCTCCACGAGACAGAACAAGTGCCGAGACTAAAAGCGTAGCCCAAACACACTGAAAGTGTGCCTTGTGAGCACAACTGAACCGCTTCCCCGAAACACAAGCCCAAAGCCTGATGTACTGGCCAAGTAACGCAGTAACCTCTTAGCAACCCATCAGTGCTCAGGGTGGTGTCTCTCACGCGCTACGTAGCATGTGAGGATGCTGAGAGGGTATGCGAGGTCACGCAGAGTGCACGTCATGAGGTACATCAGGCAACCTACAAGCTCTAGATATGGACCACTGGGCTCTACGGACTTGTCCCAAGGTGGAGCTGGCCCGTAGACAAAGAAGTGGGTTGTGCCGAGGATAACTAGAAGCCAAAGCACTGAAGGACCTGTTGCACTATGTGTGAATAAGTTAGAGTGATGGTGTTGTCCTGAGTGATCTGCAAACCAGGATAAGTTCACCCAGGTCAATGTAGGCGTGTATCTTATACGGCTCTACCTTCACAGCGGCCAGTGCCTTACTGCTAGAACTTGCAAATACCAGGTCGTTGACGTACACACGTAGAACGGTGGCAATATAGAGTCAGTGCGTAGAAGCAGGGACAGATCAGCAATCGAAAAAGCAAAGATAAGAGCCGCAAATGCCGTCCTTAGTGTGTCGTGCCACTCGCGGGGTACCTGAGGCCGACCATAGATTGGGCGCCGGAGGCTCCACTGGGTACCCTAAGGAAATGACTTAGTGGAGCCATGTGGACGGTGTAGCCAGATCTCCTCGTGAAGGCTGCCCTGTAAGAAAGCTGTCGAGAAGTCGAGGGAGTGCACCTCAAAGTCACGCTGTACTACAACGTGCAGCAACATGCAGCAATACCCATAGAGTCGTCATCTTTTGGCTGGGGGAGAAGGTGTGGAAGAAGTTGACCCCCTCACACTGACTGGAACCTCGTGCAACGTAACGCACCTTGAAGATAGGCGGGGAAACCGGCGGCCGCTTCACCTTGAAAATCAACATGCCATCAATTATGTTTGCCCCAGAAGGGGGAGCTGCATCGACTTAGGTGCCAGTGGACTTCCTCGATGCCATCTTTGCGTCCATGGCACTCTGCCACTGAGAGGAGTAACAACCCATGTTTGCCTCTGCGCAAGAGCGCAGGGTCGGGGTGTTCAGTGTATCCAAGTCTCCCTTAGAGGCAAGCAGCATGGCAGCAAGATGAGGTACGACAACCGTGAGCTACTCCAACTGAAACTATTTGTCCTTAAAGACGTCATAGCCAACAGCAAGCTCACCCCCGATGGAACCAATACAGGCAGAGTCAGAAACAAGACTCGTAAGGTAGCCAAGGCGGCAAATAGCAGCAAATTCAGTGAGCTACACGACCAAGGCACACGCAACCGTAGACCTTAAAGTAGGGTCAATGACAAGTGTGGCAATGTGTGACAGTCGGATTAGCAGCAGGAGCACGGTCGGAATTGTCAAGAAGAGATGATGGGAGAGGTAACGGTAGGTCAACAGACTATGTAACAAAGGAAGGACAAAGTGTCATGGTGTGAGTACTAGGACAAGAGGAGGGTGAAGATGGCAAGGTCGACGAACGCGAGCAATAGGTGAGGTAACACGAAACACAGGCTCTCGATGCTTAGTCTAGGAGTTTGTCAATAGAGAGTAACAAGGAGAAACAGGCAGAGGAGAGCCAGGCAGTAATTGTGCCTGATACAATTCAGGCTTTGGAGAAGAGAACCACCAGAGGTAGACGGCTCTGTAGAGGCAGGCGGAAGACTTAGAAGGTTGTGAATTGCCGACCCTGTTAGTGGCAGCGATGACCACGGTTGCTCCCAGAACAACGGCCGCCGCTGCAGTGGCTGGGCTGCGACCCCAGAACTAGCTCCTCCAGCACTGCATCAGGAACACCTCCAGCTCTAGCATGACTAACATCCTCTTTGGCAGCACCTCCAGTTCCAGTACCTTTAGCACCTCCAGCTCTAGAACCTCTAGCACAAGAACCTCCAGCACCTCTAGCTCCAAAACCTCCAGCACCAGAACCTCCATCACCTCCAGCTCCAAGACCTTCAGCACTAGAACCTCTAGTACCTCCAGCTCCAGAACCTCCAGCACCAGAACCTCCAGCATATCTGGCTCGAGTACCTCCAGCTCCAGCGCCCCCAAAACCTCCAACAACGGACCCAGGTAGTGGCACCGACGACTGCTGCTGCTCCCAAAACAAGGGCCGCCGCGGAAGTGGCTGTAAAGCACCTTCAGAAATTCCAGCACCAGTACCCTTGACTCCACCAACATGAGGACGCTTAGCATCCCCTGAGACAGCACCCGCAGCATTAGCACCCCCAAAACCAGCACCCCCAGAGACCACACCTCCAAGGTCAGCAACCCCAGAACCAACACCCCTAGAACCCGCACCTCCAGAGTCACCAGTCCCAGAACCAGCACCCCCAGAGCCCGCTCCTCTAGAGTCACCACCCTCAATAGCACCGGGGTCCACAGCGATAGGCACCAGAGTAAGTAAAGATGGCGGAGGTGGAAAACCAAGAGGTGTCTTCAAGTGCGCTGAGTAGAGAGAGGGCGCAGTGTCGTCAGCAGCAGGGTCACCCCCCTCAGCTAGGCTAGAGGGGTCTGAGGAGACCTCCAAAGGCACAACTGAGGGGTGTTGGGTGACCTAAGATACACCTAAGGGAGCAGGACGAGTGGGGGGGGGGGGGGATGTTGGGTGGTGTACATGAGGGGGACTTAGAACCAAGAAGAGGGGTGAGGGGGGCACGGGGAAACTGCGGAGGGGGTAGAGATGGTAGTAGCAAACCGACTCGTCAAAGGTGACGTCGCAGAAGGACAGGACACGGCACATTGATGGGTGGTAAAACTGCCAGTCATGGGCGTCTGTGGAAAAACCAAGGAAGACACAACGAATACTGCGCGGAGAGACCTTGCACGCGGGAGGATCGCGGAAAGGGGCAAGCGAACCCCATAACGAAATGCAAACGCCGACCTCCCCCGTCCAAAAGACGGTAGGGGAGGTCTTTCCCTGTGAGACACGGGGGCCAGATGTTAAGCTGATGCGCGGCGTATCGGACCGCAAATGGCCATAGAAAATGGGGAGCAGCCGCATGAGTCATGGAGGTGCGAGCAACCTCTATCATCAAGCCAATGCGATGCTCAATGTTCCTATTCTGTTGTTTAGAGGCCGGAAGCGAGAACGACTGGGTGATGCCCTCCTCATGGCAAAAGTCCTCAAGGATACCAGAGGCAAACTCGCCACCACAGTCCAAGTGCAAACGGAACACTGGGGGGTCTTGCTGGAACCGTGCACTCAATTGGCGAAAAACAGTGCGGATCCAAAGGATCAGAACAATTTAGATAGCGCCCTTATGCTCCTAGAGAAACATTGTGGTATAGTGCGTGAAGTTGTTGACGATCAGCACAAAGTAGTGCTCCCGACGCGAACCACTGATAGGGGCCGAGCCCCACACGTCCATGTGCAGCATCTGCGTAGGAGTAGTGGTCAGAGGGAATGAGGAGGAGTGGGGAGCGGCGCGCTACTGCCCCTCGACACAGGGAGTGCATGGTGGTGCAAGTGACACTGGGAGCGAGGACAGGGACTGCGCAGAGACAAGGTGACGCGAGTGCATGCAACGGAGACGCTCAAGGGAGGGGTGACCAATACGGTGGTGCCAGAGGAGGGGCTTGAGTGTGTGCAACCGACACGAGCAAGGCGCAACTACCTGTGCTGGCGCAGCCACCTGAGCAGACTCACTGTGCAGTGAGT